AAAAAACACCACAAAAACGAATATTGAGTAGTTTTGGTTCCACTTTTCCGGGGGAGAGAGAGAGAGAGAGAGAGAGAGAGAGTCATGCATGCACTGCGCTGCTTCTACCTGCGTCCGTCTCGCCTGGTCAGTAGTTGATCTAACCAGCCCTCTCGAATCGCGCGGGCCGTGGCCTGCTTTGCCTGATTTATTTTGGTAGCCTCGACCTCTACTAAAACAAAAACTAAAGATTTTATTTGTGGAAAACAAAAATTCCCAAACTTTCATTCATTTTTTTTTCCATTGTAAGAGGTTCTCTTGACTTGTGTCAGTACTGATTACAAACCAGCATTGCCTGCGAAGGGTGACGTTGCTCTATTTTATACTGGCGGATTAATGATTTTGGAAATATATATTTCGTTGCGGTCATTCAACATTGTACTGTGTCAAACTTTCGAAGAAAGGAGAATCAAAATCAAGTATATTTTAAATTTAGATTAGATGCATCACTCTTCTTCTTATAATAGTAAAAAATTGAATCAAATTAAAAACATTTTGTATTTATATATCGTGTCTTGCCCAGAAAAAACATGGGCAATAATGAATGATGGCGATGATTTACTAGCAAATATCAGCAAATTTATACAGCCTTAAAAATAATTCAGTCTATGCAGAATGAGTCCTATGCAAAAATTTCCTTATCTTTCAGAAGCCCAGATGAGACCATACACTGCTGAGCCTGGGAAAAAAGATCTAGAGCGCAAACCTTTCCGAGAGATGGATGAGCCCAATGGTGATGCTAGACCAGACACAGGCAGGAGAAGTGAGTGTGCCAAGTCCTGAAATTTTACCACTGTACTTTAACAACTCTTTATCTCTGGCAAGCCGCTCCCAGCAGCTGGGAGTTCGTTCCTTAGATGAAGGTTCACTTGCTTTGATTTAATTACCATTTTACAGTGCTTCCACTCTTCCGTATTTTTACGGAAATCCGTACTTTCTGCTAGTTCCGTACTTGTTCCTCCATCATTATCAACTAGCTCCGTAAAAATCTGCGACAGCGTAGGACTACCGAAATTCCGTAGCAAAAAGATCCGTACTCGCCTTCGTATCGTCTTGTATAGTTACAGATATTTAAGGTAATTTCTCTCGGCAATAGTTTATGTTATAGACCTGCCAGATTGCGCATTTCCTGCCATCGGCCATTATTTTGCTATGCCCCGTGCATTCATTGCGGGTTGGTCGGCAGTACATTTTTTACCTGTAGATTGATCAAAATCTGGCGAACTTTTTGGGCCACTTTCTTCCTTTCTGTCATTCACTCATTTCGTATGTCTGTCTTCGGATTGTTGCCGCGGCTGGAAAATCTGCGGGTTGATCAAGTATATTGACTTGTGATCTTAGACAGAAAATTATTGTCTGAAAGAAACTTTTTTGCAAATCTATTGTCTAGATCTGGAGTAATTATCAGTGCAAAGATACTACGGCACGGGAACGCGATAAAGGCAACGATGAAAGAATTTTGTGCTAAAACTACTAAAATCAAAAATAATTCGAAGTGGTGTTCCGAGGTTGTGACATGCGACATTCAGTTGTGAAAATTCAGGAAAATTAGGGTATACGCCGGGTAATTATATCGTGAAGGTACATATCTATTCATTATTCCCAGGTTTGCCTTCTATCAATGGTGCGATGACAAATTAATTGAATTATAGTAGCAATGGAAAGGGTAACTGCTTTTAAACGTTGCCAGCAATTGAAAGATATTTTGGTGAAGAAATCAAACAAGACAAAATCTTGGTGAAAAAATAGGTAGGATGGGTTGTTGGCGATCTCTTCAAACATGCTCCCAAATGCCATTGTAAAAGTAAAGCCTACATTATTTATTCATTGCATTTTATGATCTTCTTAAAACGCACAAAAGTAATGCTTGTTATAACACAACTGCAGATTAAAACGATGAAGTGAGTCTCACTTAGGTGCACTAGGGGGCACCATTTTGAAGTCAATTTGAATGGGGAAACAGATGCCAGCCAGTACTATTTTATGTATTTTAGTACGATTTTTTTCCGAAAATACGCGAATACGACTTTTCATGAAAAAGTACTCGTCCTGGAATGCGAAAAATACGAGATTCAGCGGAACTGGAATATTTGAAAACCAAGTCCGATAAGGTCAGTAACTTCATTTTTGCCGGTCGCGATTGTGATATTGTGTTCACCTTTTTCCCGTCCGAGAGTACGTTTCATGCGAACAGGCGGCTATGGCAGCAGGCGGAAGTGTATGTGACACCGATGCTCGATCGGGAAAATCAAGATGTACTTTAGCTTTTGTTACCACCGAGAAGTTTGCCAGCGGTAGTCTGATAACGCAAAATTTGTGACATGCAGGTTGTGCAGTGTAAATCTAAACGCTGTATTGCTGTGCTAATAAAATTTACTCAACACTCGGACTCGTCTCTGTACTGTCACGTATGGGAAAGAAAGAAAAGAAAATACAAGCGTCGTCTGATTTTTAGATTGTCTGGCTTGCCATCGTGACCGGTCACTGAACCTGGCCTTCCGAACGCTGAAAGCAGGATTAATTTTTTTATATAATAATAATGAGAGGAAAATATTATAATATACTGAAATACTTAAGTCAAACAAGACCCCAATACGACACTGAACACTGACATGTTGTTGACTGGATACATGTATATTGTACACGTGTGTGCTCCCTTTTCCGAGCTGATGAGTTGGTAAATTTTTTGCAGGAAATATTGCTGAATTTTACTGGTTGGTCGGTCGGTCGGTCTGGGGAGTACACATTTCCCATCTGAAAATACACATTTTCATATTTCCCAGTACTTATTTCAGTTTTCTGTGGTTGGCATCTCTGGGGAAATAACACACTGGGTGTATATTAAAAAACCCTCAATAAAACAAGAAGCGAAAATAAAAGAAAAATTGAACCAGGGGCTATGCACAGACATGCTCGCTTGTTACATCATAACTGAAATTTGACACACCACAATAAAAATGCTTAAGGGGATGGTTTACTTTTAAAATTAAAGATTTTGGGGTTAAATTTTAATGCCTGGGCTATTCATGTCTGAGCCTAAAATTAGCTGTGAGAAACTGAGAACTGTTATTATTTTTAAAGAAAAATGTCTTTCAAAACATTGAGGTAGGGAAGAGATTTTGTCATTTTGAGAAAATACGATCTCTTACATAAGAAAAATTGTTGGTCTTTTTTTTTTCCTCATCTGCCTTTGAATTTCTATTAGATTCCATTGACATAGATATGTTCACATCATAACCTAACTTTGCAGGGATGAACAGATAAATAGTTGCATGTATAAGTGAGTTTTATGGATAACTAATCACTATTTGGAGAAGTGAGGGGGGGTGGTAAGTTAATAATAATAAATAATAATAATAGATAGCATTTGTATAGCGCATATCCCCGCTCAGCAGCAGGCTCTATGCGCTTTACACTATATTATTACCCCAGCAGACCATAGAACACTTCGAAACATTCTCAGCTTCCCGGGAAGCATACAGTGCAAGCAGCCGATTAAGCACTCAAACACTAACAAACTGACAAGATCTTTCGCTGTCTATAGCCGGGTACCCATTCCCACCTGGGTGAAGTGAGGAAAATTCGTGTTAAGTGCCTTTCCCAAGGACACAACGTCGGGCCCTTGACAGGATTCGAACCCACGACCTTACGGTTGCGAGTCCGAGAGCCTAACCACTAGGCCACCGACCCTATATAATTTTTTTCCTATTAAAGGTATCCTAAAACCCATCCGTACACAATTTTGTTCTGAATATATATAATAATATCATTATTCCAAATCAGATTTGACCATTTTTATGTGTGAACACACCGCATGCCTGGCAGTCCAATTATCCTAAATTTAAGATGATCCGCAATGCACTGATGCCATTCTAAAACAAACTTTACGTGTGAGGGTTAGTGAATGTAGAATTTAATTAAATCTTTTTATTGCAGGTGACGATGAACCAAGAGACTATTACTTGACAGATCTGTGTGGCCAGCTTTCGGCTGTGGTGACGGCCAAGCCGGGCGAGAGACCAAACCCCATGCTAGGTGTGTACAGCTGTCACATTCGTGTGAAATGTTTTCCCACTTTTTGACTTTCATCTGGATGGGTGTGTATGGCCTCATGCAAAAAAAATTCTTGTATTCTATTTTTTTGTTTTTGTGAGAATGTTGTGGCATGATCATCATAAGTATTCAGAATGGAACATACCCTGCAATGTTTTTGTGGAATGATATAGGAAAATCTTGAGGTTGTTTGTCTTTTATAATTGAAGCAAAAGTTCTCATTGTTTTAACAGCTAACTGCCCCCCCCCCCCCCCCCACTTCCATATGGATGACTTTGGTTCAAATTCCAAATGAGGGTTGCAGGTTTCCACCCTTGTGGCTTTTGTTCTATGGTGGATAAATGCTTAGTTCAGAGGGTTTGCCACTTATACACCTAAAGACAACAAAAAAGGACATGAGACTCGTACCCGTGCGTACTGTACCAGCTGTACACCTCCACTGAAGTAGTGTTTATGGGTCCTGTGTGTTTCGCTACAGATGAGTGTGAAGATCCTGCTGCCATCCCCATCTACTGGATCAGCAAGTGGGTGGATTACTCAGACAAGTATGGTCTAGGCTACCAGTTGTGCGACAACAGCTTCGGTGTGCTTTTCAATGACTCGACCAGAGTGATACTCCTCACAAACGGAGAGTAAGTGGTCTTGTTTTTGTTTTTTTGTTCTCTCTTTTTTTTTTAAAGGTTTATATTGCATATATGTGCTTCTCTGAACTAAATTAATTTAAAACAAGTTTTGTTTATTTTTGTCCCGGTTGTGCTTATGGTTGGTTTTGCAAATTTTAGATATGATGTATTTTGCAGCAGCGAGAGCAGTAGAACTATCTAAACAGAGTTGATGTCACTGTTTGGCAGCTGTAATCCTAGACCTGCATGTTTGCCGACAATCGTCTGAAATCCGACAATCGCGACCCGACCCGCGAGCTGGCCGATGCTATTGCTAGGCCCACCTGTATCTGTCAATGTGCGTAGTGCGAGGTCTGGCCGACTGCCAGCGCCCCCTTTTTCTCCCGTCGGCACTTTCGTTTTCGTGCCGACGTCGGCGTTTCCGACATAATTGTCGGAACCTGAGTAGAAATGCGAATACGAAAAAGGACGACGACCTAAATTATCTACTTTCAGTTTCGTGCTCAAGCGGCCATTTTGAATTTCGTTTGTTGACTAATTCAATTGTTCAAATCATGTGGATTCATCAAGTCCGACTAACTTGTTCTATAGAATGTAGATCTAGATCTAGATTTATATAGATCATTAAAGACCTCAATGGAGGATTCATATTCCAATTCTATTGTGTCAAACGCTATCAAAGGTTGTGCTGTAATATTAATGTTGGTAAAAACATTTCATCAGGTGCGTGAATTATTTATTTATTTAGAATCAGCTGAGTCCCTCTGTTCAGACCTATTCCTATTCACTTGTTCTACAAGGTCTAGATCTATAGATTACTTGATCTATATGGAGGATTCATATTCCAATTCTTATGTGTCATTATTGTATCAAACCCTATTATAGCAATGTAGATCTAGATCTAGATTTAGATATAGGGATCTAGATCTAGGCCATATTATGCTCCTTGTTTGTTTTGGAGTGTGGTTTTTAAATTTTAAAAATCTTTTCATTTTGGACTTGTGCTGGCCTTTTTACAGGAGGCCCGTTGCAGGTTCTTTTTTGGGGTAGGCCTAGGGGTAGGGTTAGGGTTAGGTCTCTTCTTTATTTGTTTGTTGGTGTGGTGGCTCATTACTCGGAAGTCCTTCCTTATGACACCCACAATAAGCTCGGGGGGGGGGTGTTTACGCAAAATTTTCAGACAACCTGGTTGAGGCTCACACGCAGGTCTAAAATCCGCATTTGTGTTGATTGTTTTGTGTGACATTCTCGTGATATGAATGGTTTGTTTTGACAAGTAACCAAAATGTTTTTTTTCTTATTTAGAAATATACACTACATTGAACGAGATGGAAAAGAGCATTACCACACTATCAGACAGTTCCCAGAGACGCTGGGCAAAAAAGTGACTTTGCTGAAGTACTTTAGGAACTACATGAATGAACATTTACTTAAGGTGAGCTGAAACTACAAGGTCGTCTAGATGTTGCTAATTTATGGGAATGAATTGTCTGTTCTGTCCCCCCCCCCCCTTAAAATTGCATAGCACTAGTGCATGCTGCCCGTATATATCAAAGGATGTAAACCAGGGCTTGTCAATAGTTTTGTAGCCAGGGATCACTTTTGCCACTTCTAAGAGGCTAACATTTTTGTACTGCCCACCTTTATGTTTTTCCCAGTGTTTCATAAAATGACACCTTTCAGCTACCGAGGTGATCCCCTTAAGCCCCCCAATAGTTCCTAAACGCCCACTTGTGGGTAATATAACCTAGGTTGGCAAGCTCTGCTGCAGAGTTATACACATGTAAATAAGACAACAGCCTTTCAGTGCTGGGAAAGAACAAGACAATCAGACACGAGCAACAGATGAACAAAGTTACTAAAGTACCTATCAGTGGCACCCTCCAACTGCTCGTAGATTGTCCAGAATTATCTGCGAAGTTCTACTGGAAATTGTCTGTTACCTTGTTTGCATGTTTCTCTCTGGCTTATACCTATGCACACTCACACACACACTGGACATAATTGAGCAAAATAGGCATCTTTTCAGTCTTCAACGTCTGTGGACAGTGAAGTCATATTTAGAATCTGTAGAGTTTCTTTCCAGAAAGAATTTCTGATTTCCATTAGGGAAGTGTATGGGGTTTTTTTGTTCTTTTTTTTTTTGTCCTTCTTCTTTTGTCTTCTTGGCTCCTGTTTCCAACTGAGCCTGGAATGGCCCTGGCAGTCACCACCAGAACAGCTCTTGTCATTCGAGATCTTAATTGTGTTTGATAGGTATTCAGAACATTTACAATCGATCAGTTGTCAAGCAACTTTCTGGATGCAAATACTCTAAATTGTTAGTCAGTGGAGGGCTCCCGTGTACCATCCTGCTTCTTTATTTTTCTGTTGTTTCCGAATCTTTTCTACAAACTGAATGGCTGTTATCACATTTGTGGGCTTTGCTTTCTCTCAGACATGATTTGCGGGATTTAATTGGGGGCCTTTATCAAGACCTTGTAATAAAAGTGAAAAATCAAACCTGAATTGTTTACTGTTGCAGGCTGGTGCTAACATGACGCCCCGTGACTCTGATGAAATGATCCGGTTGCCTTTCCTGAGGACCTGGTTCCGTACGAGGAATGCCATAGTCCTTCACCTCAGCAATGGAACTCTTCAGGTATAATATGATTCAAGTGTAGGCAGTGGCTGATGGGTCCTCTTGGGGTTTGGTCTGATTGTTTTCTTTCTCTTTTCAGCATTACTATAGACTCTGACTGTTGCTAGTGAAGTATGACCATTGCACGACACACCATTGGTGGAATTAGTTGAAGCTGGGGACTCCCTAATGAGCCACTGTACGCGGTCAGCTGGCAGATGTGGCTTTGTCTGGGCTGGTTGAATTTTCGGTGCTTTTCAATATTTACTTTCAAATGTAACAATAAGTGTTGATGAGGGCTCCTGCTCAGCCAGGAAAACTAGAAAAAGCCCAGAATTTCATTTACAGCTTTCCTGGTTGAGAAAACACCATGGAAATGAATGAAAACAAAACAAACCAGAACACTGGGGAAGGAAACTAGATCTATCACAGGAAATTTTCTTCAAGGCTTATATATGCCTTTTTATAATCACGTACCTGATTGGTCACTATAATTTAGTTCAGTCACTGGCACACAGCTTTAGATAAAAGAGTATTCTTTATCTGTTCATTACAATATGCAGAATGCCAAACCAACTTTTCCTTGTTGTCAGAAGCCTATTATCCCAGAGAGAGGGGCCAGGAACAAAATGGAGGGGATTAAAGTTCTAAAGCTATAAATTAAGGAAATGGACTGATTTTCTTGCTTAACTTCAACGCAAGTCAGAAATGCATTTATAGCTCATTCTCTTTTGTCTGACTGCGGTTAAAACGGGATGAAAACAAATCTCTGTTTAATCTTTGCATGTGGGTATTAAAGTTAAGCGACCAACAGAATATAAAAGCCCGTTCATAGAAGTCACTGCGAACTAAGGTTCCGACACGTTTTCTTTGATGTAAGCTTAAAGTGGATAAAAAAAATAATAGGGGATTTACAGCATACATCTAAAACATATTTAAAAGTTGACATATTTTCCTCAACACCACTCTTCAATGTTCGCCTAAGAAACAAGATTGAAGAGAAGGGGTGGGTATCTTTTTGAGCCGCTCAAGCTTACCCTGAAATGTGGGTGCAGGGTTATGTCGCTGTCTCAAAATGAGCAATTTGTAGGTAAGGCTACTAAGCTTCTAACTAAGGGAACAGGATGCTTTCAGAACTAAAAGCATTAACAGTGAAAAACAGAAATATATTATTGTTTGTAAATTTTACTCGAATTATTTTCATTTTAAATTGACCATATTTTATCGCCGACATTTGCACATTTTCTCAGAAGATCACTGATTACTAACTGGATGTTACTTTTCGGTTGGTTAAGTTATTGTCCTTCTTTGAACGAGATGCGCTGTGGGAAAAGGGGGTGGGGGCAGAGTTGCTCCTCCAAAATGGTATAGACTGTTCTGATAGGGAACATAGAACGTTTATGATCATTTGCAGTGGAGAAATAAGTCATTTATTTTAGGGATCCTGAGTATGCATCCAAAGAGCGGTTTTTAATATAGGGCCCAAAGAGAAAAACTTTTATCAAGATTTAAAAAAAGAAAATTTTTGTTTGAACGCCAGCCTGCAGAATCAGAAATGCCAGGAAAGTTTCGTGAGGTAAATTCGTCAATGCCATTTTTAAAAATGCGGTCAAACGAAAGTGAACAGGCTATAGCAAAAATTGCACATATCAAACTGATTTTCAGGTTCCAAAACTTTTCACATGCTTTCCTTGTATTCAAAATATGCACATAACGTGCACAATTCATACACAGCTAAAGTCTTGGTGCCAGTGTGGGTAGATTTTCTCCTGAAACTAAACTAAACTGCTTGTTGCTGATCAGTTTCTTCCAAGATCTTTTGCCTTCCAATGACTGCACTGACCTTTATTGTGTCTATTTGTGCCACGAAGCGGTGGGTGGAATCAAGCGCTCGTCAATTTTTGTGCATATGGAGTTTGGTTTCATCTTAAAGCTTGTTCATTTATCTTGCTTTGGATGAAAAAAATACCCGTCGATCTTGAGCAGAAGTGAAGATATTTGTAATTGAAAGACAACTTGGTTTCAGTGGTAAAAATAGCGAGAAAATGGCCACCAAAGTTTGATAACTTCAATGGCTAAAGAGTCCTTGAAAACTGAAAAATTATATGTTTTGAGCTTTTAATTAACGTTTATTCAATATAATTCACATGGAAATGTGTTTTTATTTGGACATAAAAGGGTTGAACAAAACAAAAATTTGATTAAATTGCGAAACTGGTGGGAAAATGCCTGTTTCTCCAATTGTGTTATTTTGACGAGCACCTGATTTCACCACATGCCTCATATTTGCTTTTCTTTTTTCAAACTGAAAAACTTTTTTTTTTTTTCAGATCAACTTCTTCCAAGATCACACCAAGATCATCCTGTGCCCTCTTATGGCAGCAGTGACCTACATTGACGAGAAGCGAGAGTTCCGGACGTATCGGCTGAACCTGATCGAGAAGTACGGCTGTTCCCGGGATTTGGCCAGTCGTCTGCGCTATGCCCGCACTATGGTGGAGAGGCTTATGAATTCAAAATCGGCCAGTTCCAACCGGGCCAAGTCGGCTGCCTCCTGAGTGTGTGATGTGCTCGTTTGATTGCTTGTGTGAAAAATGACAGAACATTTATGAGAAGGCTAAATGATGATTGGATTACATCAGTGCCGGTTACCTCCTGATTGTTAATGTGTGATGTGTTGTTGGATTGTTTGTGTATGATGTGCTCTTTCTGTCTGTGTTGTTTGATTGTTGTGTGATGTGTTTGATAGTTTGTGTATGGGAGAGACTGAATGTTAGTAAGAGTGCTAAGTGAGAAATTAATTGTGACAGTGATTGCCTGGGTCTGTGTAGTGAACTGTGTTTGAGAAATGGGCCATGATAATGCCAAACGATGGTTTGATTTTGTCAGAAATGACCTGGATTTCTGTCATGAGCTATGGTAAGAGCTGGGGACGTTAGGATGTCAAATGAGGATTTAGTTATGTCAAGATTTGCCTGGATTTTTGTTGTGAACAGTTTGAGTTGGAAGTCTTAATATGCCTGTGCCTATAGTGTACTGAAGTGGAGGGTTTTATATCATTTGGAAGAGATTTGTCTTTCATTTAGTTCCCTATCAGCAGCTGGCACTCATTTTGTCATGCAGATTTTTCCTGATTTTCCTGTTTTCATGTTGTTTTTCCATTGTGTAGCTCATCAGTGTACATTTGAGTTATTTTCACCAAATTGTTTGGATACTTTCAAGGGGGAAAACATGGTCTTATCTAGATGTCTGAAAGAAAGTGCTTTTGAATTTTATTCAAATGTCCTATGGATTGTGGCTCTTTGATTATTTTTTTCTGTGATGATGAATCAGAAACCTCAAATGAGCATGTCTCGCTTCTATATCGTTCAATCGAAGAATGGCCGTGGTATTCTTGTTGAGTAGTTTACGATCTTGAACAGGATGCTGGACAAGGAGCTTAGATTTGAGCGGTGTCCAGATTTTTCCAGCTTTCAGTATTTACTTGTGTACCTAGTGTGTCTTGTCGCAGAACTGCATGAGGTGTTTTGAACATTAGTAGCTCGGTGTCAGTTGGGATTTAATATTATATTAAAAAAGAAAAAAGTTTATGTGCGATCTTCTTGATGCGGTTGAGTGTAATGAACTTTAGTTTGTTTTGAGAAATAGACAATAAAATAGTGTTTACACTTGCTTAAATACAAAGTGAAATTAAAGTACTTTTAAAGACTCCTGTCTGCCTTCTCTGTCAGTATAATAATCTAGCACAACCCTCAAGATATGAGGTAAAAGTGTAATGAAGGTACATGATATTGCTATTTCCATTTTATTAAATGTCTGTTTATAAGAAATGTGATCAAAATAAAAAATATAAGCCAGAAACTGTTGGAAAAGACCATGTGTCTGGCATTTTGTCAAGGTGTCGTAAATAGCTCTGTAGAGAGGAGCCAGTAAGTGGCTGCACACATTAAAATTGTGGTGCAAATGTAATTTATTTTGTTGTTTGACTGCGTATCAGCTCAAGTCAAAGGGGTTTGTGTGAGGTACAGCCCAAAAATTTGTTTAAAAAGAGGGACATGATTCATTTTGTGTACGTACACCTTTCAGAGATGTGACTGTCATGTTGATTGATGAATTGTAATTTGTCAGTTTTAACGATGTCATTCTTTTCAATAAAAGAAGACTATTTGGGTTGCTCGGCATAATGTGAAAGTGTAGTTTGCCTGAATGTTATTTGAGATCTTGTGACTGATAATGAGCTGCAATTATTTCGCGGAGTGGTATTGTTTACTGAATAAATATAAGTTGGATACTATCGGTATGCTGTTTGAAAATTTGGCAAAATGAAAGAGACTGATAATGTGATCTCTACAAGCAATACTGGGATATTTATTTTTGTGGTCCAAGAGTAAAATGGTCCTATGTGTTTTAGCTGTCACCTCATCCCTGAATGCTCTAAATTGGATCGATTGGGGTGTAAAACAATTTACAATCGTTCATAGCTCACAAGAATCTGTTTTGTCATGCCACCAATGGGTTCTCTTGATTTCAGTGAGTTTTCTATTGAAGTCTCAGTTTGGCTTGCACTTCAGCCCTGTCTCGACTCTTTCATGTGTTCACTTCATGTTGATTTCTTCAACAGCAGCAGCATTTACCATTCCACTGGACCACTGTAATATTTCATTGAAGAGAGCAGTTTTCATCTGTATGCTTTTACTTTTATCTTCTCTGAGTAGAGATCATTTGTAATGTTTAGAGATCCTCTGTGTTCCTGCAGTGTTGAAAAATTATTGTGCTTTGTAATGAAATGTAGTCAATCATCTTATTTTTCATTTATCTCTACCTTCTTTTGTGAAAGCTTTCCGTTTGTCCTCTCTGATTAATGTTTAAGGAGCTTTTTGGTGCATTGCATAGAGCCAGAGTATTATGCTAATCTCAGTTTGTCGTTTTAACTGGTGAAGTGAGTGTCTAAATTCAATTGGTTTTCTTGCCTTTCAGTAGTTTTTTTCTTTTATTGCGTCTAGTTGTAGGATTATCGTATCTGTCGTTTTGATGGAATGTTAGATTTGAGCGAAGGGAATCTAGGTTTTTCTGTTTGAAGCTTTCATCGGACTATTGTTTTATTTCTTTGATCTGTTTATAGGAAACGAAAATATGTCATGTGCTCTTTGTTTTATTTTTGTATTCTTGGACAGGATTTGCTTCTAAAAATTTTGTTTTTTCTTTCTTAACAAAATAGGAATTTTTTGGGTCTCATTTTCCTTTTTCATTGACTGTCTTTTTACATATTGCTTATGGTTTCTTTTGGGACAACAACAGAAAAATAAGTAATACTTTGCTTAGTTCTACCGATTTCATAGTTTGGTAGAGCTAGAGTCAAAAGCATTAGAGGATGATAACTAGTTTCAAGGTATATGATCTTTCATATATATTATATATATATTTATATATCTCTATAAATTGGGATATCACATTAAAAAGGCATCACGTACATATGATTTCATACCATGCTTTTTGTGTAAATGTTTTCTTTTTCATGGTGACCTATGTTTGTAAATACGCCCAGATGTATATAATGTGTACCTATTTTGTCTATAATGAAAGCTATTGATTGGTGACATGTGCAGCGTGTTTTGATGTCTGGATGATTTATCTCAGAGAAGTAAATGTACGAAAGTTCTTTGAGAACTTGTGTATTACAGTGTATAGTACAATTCTTTCTGCCTCTTCAGACTTTGTGCGTTCTGTAACATATGACACACTTTTCTACCTGTGTTCAGTTTCTAATGTCCTTGCTGATGACTTAGTTTGTAGAAAAAAATATAACTTTGTATAATTTGATTTTCTCCTTTGTTGTTTTGAATTTGAATTGTGGGAGTATTTCCTTGTACCTTTTATTTGTTTTATTGTCAGAATGAGTTACCTTCTAATTTTGAGTTGATCGTTAGTTCTGTTTGGGGCAGTATTGTGAATTGATTGTTTGTGAAATTTATGAGGGCACTGTTGAGTTCCTCTCAACTTTGTCCATGGGCTTGCCATTATTTGTAATGATTAATTGGAGAGAATTGAATACACTTGACTTAGTTTTAAATATGCCATTGCGTGGTGCTTTATTCATTTGATTATTTTTTTTCTTCTTCATGTTGGTAGGGCTTCGGAGCTCACTTTGAAAGTTATATATAGTTAAGATTCTGGAACGCTCTTCCCCTGCTTCATAAGTGGTTTCCAAATGTTTTTGGAAATTGTATATGTGCCTTAGGAGACAAGTCGGAAAACCAGATACGTTACATTTTAAGGTGAGTACCGGTATAGTATTTCTTTTACCTTACAAAATGCAGGACGTAGCTGGATTATCTGTGGGATCATTTGCAAAGAAGAAAATGTGATTTTCAAAGAAAAATGCAACGAGGACAAAAATTCATTTAAAGAAATGCCTTATTTTGCTTTGTCACTGGATTCTTCACAAGTGTGATCTGCTCCTTCTACCCCTTTCACTGTTTTTATTAGTATCTTAATTGTAAAATCTGATCCTTACAAAATGTGGCCAATTTTGGCTTACTTTGAAATTCCTTCTACTGTACTGCCCTGCAAAAGATCCAAGCGACACTTTCCTTGCTATAGGCCTACCTTGTTCTATGGTACTTTCATGGCTCCTTGATAATAATAATAATTGCTTTTATACAACGCATATCCTCACTCAACATTATTAAGGTCTATGCGCTTTACAATAATAATTACCAGAGCAGACACTAGAACACGAGTCAGAAATATTCTTGGCTTTATCTGAAGCATAATATGGGGCAAACTGCGGATTATGCTCACTAGAACACTGGCAAACTGACACTAATTTAGGCCATTCTCAAAGGGGGGAGATGAACATGTTCTTATGCACAGTAGAATTGTAAATGGGTTGATTCATCAATGTCATGCTCATAACTGCCTGAACTGAAAACTGGGAACTGCTGCTTTTTCTTTCCTAATCCTTACTACTATCGTCATTTTCCCTCTACTTCTTTTGTGTGTTTGTCACTCTCTTGTGATCCGCTATTTCCGGGGTGCCTTAATAGTTGAAGCAGACTTTGTGCTGTTGAAGCAGACTTTGTGCTGTCGAAGCTAGAGAGGTTAGCAGAGTCAGCCTGATTCCCTGTACATTGTATGGACTTCTCTGTTCACATCCACCCCTTGGCACTCATATATGACCTTTTGCAGTTGTGAGCACTGTAAAAACTCTACTTAAACTAAAAGGGATCATTCGCTTTCTGTGTGAAGTGAGGAGAATTCTTAATTTATGTAAAAGCAGCTTTCCCAAGGACACAGTGCTGGGCCCTAGACAGGAGTTGAACCCATGACCTCACAGTTGTGAGTTGGAGACCCTTACCACTTGACCATTGGTGCTGCTTCAGCCATTTTAGTTCTACGAGGCAACATTTTAAAGGTTCTGTCATGAAAATCATTGTGTTATGTTTGCACTAATAGAATGGATAAAAGACTCTTAGTAAGATGATTCACTTTCATCACTGTAGTTTTATCTCATGACTTGCTCACAAAGGTTGTCTCAGCAGGTACTGTAGTTGGAGGTACTTGTTTACCATTATCTCTTTCTGTCTGTCTCTTTTTCTCAGTACTAAATAATGGTTGTGTTGATCTGCTTCTCTTTACTCAAGCATACAGAAACAAGTAAAGATTATCCATGGATGAAACATGTATTATAAAACAGGACATTAAGAAGACGTGAATTATTTGTACCCCTGAAGCTGCACTGCTATAACTTAAGAAATAAGATAATGTAGCCATTTGATCACCAAGACAATTGTGGTTTAGTATATTTTTGTTTGCGTTTGCAGTTGGCACGTTTTATCTTGCATTATATTCAGTACACATCATATCAGTGAATATCACACGGGTGGGCGTCAGCTCTCTTGTGAGTGCAATGCTGTTGTATTTTCATTATCCCTGCCCATAAGAATGTGTCCATCAAGATATGGGAGAAAAATGGAAGGTTTGACCTCTTGTGTTTTTTAATATATTTTTTTCCCCTGGTACATAAAACGTGACTAGCATTATCTTCACTTCTGGTTTTCTACCTGCACGGCCATTCTATGTAGTGTTGTTCTATCATTTTTTTCACCCACAAGTGCGAATCATAGATGTGTGTCCTCGGTTTATACTGTATTTGATGGTTAAGTAGCTGTTATATCCAGTTGTTTTTTTCCCCACTTGACCAATTTTGTTTCCGGGAACAGAATTTGTCAGTTCTCACCATTGAAACAAGGCTAAAACAAAGATATTACTTTCAGAGGTTGCCCTCTTCCTCTTCTTCTCCTTTCTATTCTTCTGCTTCTCACACTTCTTCTCCTTCTCCTCATATAGATCTAATTAATACTTTAATCATACTTATATATATGCATTGTGAAAAGAAGTAAGATATTTTTTTACTGGATGTGCAGCAATGTGCAGTTTTGCTTTGTCACAAAAGTTTTTTCTTTCTTTTAACTTCACTGAATTTGTTTATCTGATCTTTGGCTCTTGTTGACATGAATGGACCGTGAGAATTCTTCAGGAATGAAATGTAATTTAATTCATCTTGGACACACTGCTG